TTAGATATCTCCAAATAAGGGACTTCGCGAGAAGACCCCACATTAAAACCGCAGCCCAAGGCCAGTTTACTTTTTACGAGAGGCTATGTATAGAGGGGTCCACCCCTAAAGGAATGATTACGTTGCTATATTCTCATCTTAGCACGGAGACCAAAGAATGGGGAAGATTGAAATACACAGATAGATGGGAGGCGGACCTGGGGGAGGAACTGGAAGGAGTCGACTGGCAGGAGATCTGGGAGGCAACCAAGAGCGCGTCGATCTGCGTCACACAACAAGAGCAGGCATGGAAAACCTTACTCAGATGGTATACTACTCCGATAACTTTAAACAAAATGCGCAAGATAGATAATGACGAGTGCTGGAGAGGATGCGGCTCCAGAGGCACGTACCTCAACATGTGGTGGGAATGCCCGAAAATCCGCGGATTCTGGAAGTCCGTAGAAGATCTCTTGAAGCAGACGTTTAGCAAACCTCTGGCCTTAGACCCATGGATCTACCTCTTAAATAGATCTATCGAGGGATGGACGAGAAGAGAGCAGAAACTAGTGCGGGCGATAACCCTAAGCGCACGCAGAGCGGTAGCAACGGCATGGCTGTCGCCTGGAGGTCCGGAGTTTGGAGGGGTGATCTCTAGGATAAAGGAAAATAGAATTATGGAAGACCTGACTGCTAGACTAAGAGGAACAACTCTAGCCTTCCAGAAGGTCTGGGAACCGTGGGACAACAGTGCCATAGGCTTGGATCATGACTGAGGTGCCAAGGGGGCGGTCCGATTCAGGACCAGACACTGCTAGGTTGGTGCCGGAATAAAAAACCTCAACCTCGTCCGCCTCCCCTCCCCCCTCCACCCTCCCACCCTTCACATTCACATCCTCCTTGATCTCTATGCCCCTCTTTCTCACCTCATCTTACTCTCTATGTCTATACCTGTTTCTTTCACGCTCTCTAACTTTAGGTACCGAAACCTTGGCCTACAAGGATACCCACTATCTCTATATTTCTCTCTTACTTCTAAACTTCTTTATGGCTGACATTGTCCCACCACATGGAGACATAACTAACTTCCCTCATCTAGACATGAGCGCGCTGAAGGAGGATGGAAGATGTCTAAAGTACACCCAGACAGGGCTGGAGTTGGGGCTCATCCTTAGTGGGCAGGACCAGACTCAAGGACACATTACCACCGACAATGGGCTAATAGAATAGCATCCGCTGAGAGACCTGTCTTAGGACCCATGGCCCCAATCCAACTCTCCAAGTTAGAACACTAACATACAGGCTCCTGCGCGGGCCTCACAGCAGCACTGCTCACACTATATATATGGTATAAAAATTGGGTAGTTAACTGTAACAGCCAATAAACACATAAAATCCCCGATGGGGGGCAAGCTGTAAAGAAAATGTAAAGAGGCGGGCCACAGAGGCCAATGTTAACATTGATGTCTATGTATATGTTCTATTATAATGCGGCTTCTGCGCAAGCCTTTTATTGACATGTTCTTGCCTTGCCTATCGGGCACAAAAATAAAGAATTAAAAAAAAAAGATAATGCATCTTGGACATAAAAACCCAAGGGCAGAGTACAGAATATTTGATAGAGTCCTAACCTCAATAGCTGAGGAAAGGGATTTAGGGGTGATTATATCTGATGACTTAAAGGTATGCAGACAATGTAATAGAGCAGCAGGAAGAGGTATTAGCAGTAGAAAGAGGGAAGTGCTCATGCCATTGTACAGAATACCGGTGAGACCTCAGTACTGGAGTCCGTATCTCCAGAAGGATATTGATATTTTAGAGAGAGTTCAGAGAAGGGCTACTAAACTGGTTCATGGATTGCAGGATAAAACTTACCAGGAAAGGTTAAAGAATCTTAACATGTATAGATTGGAGGAAAGATGAGACAGGGGGGATATGATAGAAATATTTAAATACACAAAGGGAATCAACACAGTAAAGGAGGAGAGAAACTGCTGTCTTTATAATAGGGTTAATCCAGCCTCCAAATCCTCTAGTGGCTGTCTCATTGACAGCCGCTAGAGGCGCTTGCGTGATTCACGCTTTGAAAATCACAGTGAGAACACGCAAGCGTCCATAGGAAAGCATTGTAAATGCTTTCCTATGAGACCGGCTGAATGCGCACGCAGCTCTTGCCGCACGTGCGCATTCAGCCGAAATGGAGGATCGGAGGCGGAGAGGAGGAGGAGAGCTCCCCGCCCGGCGCTGGAAAAAAGGTAAGTTTTAACCCTTTCCTCTCCCCAGAGCTGGGCGCAAGGGGGTCCCTGAGCTTGGGGGCACCCTCAGGGCACTATAGTGCCAGGAAAACGAGTATGTTTTCCTGGCACTATAGTGGTCCTTTAAGATAAGGCCAGGGACTAATTAAAAGTAGTTTCAAATTTTGGGCAGACTAGATGGGCCGAATGGTTCTTATCTGTCGTCACATTCTATGTGTCTATGCTTCTCCAACTGATGAATAGATTTATACTGTAGCTGCTAGTACATTTGATCACATGCCATGTAGAAACCTTTTGTGTATTAGGTGTTATTATTATTTTTTTATTTCTTTGGTTAGTTAAATGCTTTGTGTTACTGGCTTCTCCACATTAAAGAATGGAGTAAATGCCTACTCTGGTCGGAGACATGCCCAGGGGGCAAGATGGCCTGCATAATACATGCTAACAGGCCATTCTTATTCTTCTAATCATCAATAACCAAATATGAAGATAATGTGCTGCTTTACCTTGTAAATGTACTTACGATGTGTTGCCATTCTATCTCAGACGCATTCTCATTGTATACTTTGTTGCATGATTACTGTACAGAAGCCTACATGTTATAATGCAATATGTTTTCTATGACAAAAAACATTAATAAAAACAATATATTTAAAAAAACTAAAATCTTTCAGAACTAATCGCACATCAGAAGTCAGGACTAGTATGATAACAGAAAATTTGCCCACTCCTGGGCCTAAAGGGGTTAATATCTCAGCAGCCTTGATTTTTGTTGTTGATAGAATAGGCAGGGATGACTAAAATATGCCCATAAAACAAACAGTATTTTATGAAAGCTTTTATCTAAATATTTAAATAAGGTTATGAACATAGTAAACACACAGTTCTACTGGTTGGAAAATTACTTAGAGACAAATGGGAATTTATTTTAGTTCCTGGGAGCTACATAAAAGGCTTGTCAGTTTTAGATTACAGTAACTGTCTTAAACAAGCAAGGTCTGATTCAATTTGTATTTCTAATTTCCAGGTAACCTTGAATATTTAGCTCAAGGTCACCTGTTGACATTTAAAAAAAAAAAAGTGTGTTGTTTGCAGGCCACAAGGCAAACTGCATAAGTAGCCCCATGGAGAAAAGCAGGGGCTTGGAGGCAGGCTTAGGTGGATCCCAGGCCCGGACTGGCCATCGGGCATACCTTGGCAAATGCCCAGTGGGCCGCGATGGCCGTGGGCCTAGGTCGGCAGAGTAGATCACAGGATCTCCCCTACCAGCCCCTGCAGGGCCAGCGCTATCCGAGCGCCGGCCCTGCTGGGTGCCTTCACGGGCCGGTGGGGAGATCAAAGATCTCCCTCACCGGCTCACAGGCACTGCTAGGCCAGCTGGGGAGGAAGGGAGTCAGGAGAGGACCCGGGGAGCTCTAGCCAGCAGCTCCGCTGGGTTCCTTTCGCGGGATTCTGAGCGTTGTCGCGGTTACCACAGCAACGCTCAGATCTCGCGAGAGTGAACTCTAGCCCTGCAGGCTCGAGTTCACTCTCACCACAGGACCACCAGGGAAGGCAGCATGGCAACCTCCTCCATGGCAGCATGGCTCCCCCCCCCTCCAAGGCTAACGGTAAGAAGGGAGGGGGGGATATCACTTTTTTTTGTTTGTTTTTAAATAAAAAAATTAAAAATACATATATTTTATCATTCACTCACAGTACACTCAGACACTCCTAGCAACCCATTACAAAAACACACAGCACCCTGAGACACACACAGCACCCTCACACACACAGCGCCCTCATACACACACACAGCACCCTCCCACACACACACACACAGCACACTCATACACACACAGCACCCTCAGACACACACAGCACCTTCATACTCACAGCACCCTCAGACACACACAGCACCCTTCACACATACACCCAACACATAATACGTGCCCCTCACACATACAATACGTCCAAACATAAAATACACACTCTGAATCCTCTATACACACACACACACACACACTCGGTCATTTACACACTAGACCTCCTACACACACACACACACTGCACCACCTACACATACTACATTCCTGACATACAAACTCTGGATCCCCCATGCACACACTACATTCCTTATAAGCAAACACATACAACATTCTCTAAACACACACTCTCTACAACCCCTATACACACTATGTCCACTATACACACAAACACACTCCGCAGCCCCTAGCCACACATATTACACCACAAACATGAATGAAATTGACCTATTTACACAATACCATACCACAATCAGCTCACGCCACACACACGCAATCCCACAAGCAGGCTCCAAACACATGCACCATACGCTTTCCTGGCTCTTTTGTTCTCTGGTATCCCACTTATGGAGACACCAGAGACAAGTTAACAGCAAACACAGCACAAGCATCTTATTAAATTTGCATGTGCTGTGCAGAACAAATATAGGGCCTTTTTTCCCATGCTTGAGCTCTTCAGCAGGGCTCTGTGCATTGAACCAGCATGCTTACTTTGATAGGGGGCGTGCTTGTCATTATTCATGACAAAACACACAGTCTCTGGCCCCGCCCCCTTCTCAGAGGGGCCTCTTTTTTTCCCAGTCTGGCCCTGGTGGAGCCTGATGGTGATTGGATTAGTATGGCTAGGGGATGGTCTGATCTAAATGTCTCAATTTTAGAAAGCTCATTACTAATTTACTCATCAGGCAGAGTTGGTGTTATCATTGATTGGGCCTGGCAAGTCTGTTTTTTCTTTTTCAGGATGGCTGAGCGGTCTCTGGAGGAGCTGATGGATCCAGGCGGCAGTACAGGACAGAGTGACGGCATGACTGCAGCAGAGGCTCGGAGCAGTCCTGGAGGAAACTGGACAAGATGGGGTCAGCGTCCGAAGCAGAGGAGAAGGCCACCGCAACATCTGAGCCGCAACATCTCATTGAGGTGGCTGACCCTGCGAGCAGGAGTGCTCTGGCAGCGTCCAGCTGTGAGAGGGCCGGGCCAGACACTGGGAGCAGCTCGCAGGCTTCGTCTGCTGCGTCAGTTGACGGTGGGGGCGGATCTCCAGTGGACTGGCAGGCTCATCACTGCCAGACAGCGAAGCTCCTGGACTGGATGAAGCCATACTTAGATTGTAGGCCCCCTGCAATTGGTGGGGTCAGGAGCAGAGCAGGAGTCCCAGAGGTAGGGCTAGTGGGGCTTCACGAACCCATTATGGCCAGAAGGGCCTTGATCAAGGGCGAGATGCCAGGACGGGGTCACGGCACTCCCAGGGACACTAGGAGAGGGAAGACAAGGAACGGTACAATCAGCCCAGGATCTTCTTGTTCCAGGTCCTGCCGTAGATCGCATTCTGGACATTCCCAGCACTGGCTGACTTTCTTGGTTTGTGTGAACAGAACAGTAGTGGAGCATTCTGGTTCAGTGGGACTTAAAAGAGCAGTCCTGAGGTTGCCGATGGAAGACGGTTTGGTTGGTGAGTTGGACACCCCTGCACCTTCACTTGCTTGTTAAATTCCTCACAACACCTGATTGATTCTTAAGGAAAAGAGGGGTACACATAGGTCTGATGCGGGTCGGATTTGGGTTCCAGATGCAGGAGTTCCTGCGGTTGCAGAGCGATGTGGTGGAGGGGCCCTCGACCGAGGTGGCGGTAACAGACACAACAAGTGAGAGAGCTGAGTTGTTGGGTGGCGTACGAAATGAGGTGCACTAGAATGCTTACATTTTATTTGCGGGCCTCCTGATTTGGAAGGGTGAGTTCATGGAGGCTTTCAGCTCCTACCACTGGAGAAGTATGTTGATCTCAAGGAGGAGGATAAGAAGGATGCCAAAAAGGAGGATACCTAAATTGTTCAGTATACGGTTGAGGGTGTTTTGCATTCTGACCACTGTGATTGGCGAGAAATCCCCAGGGCTTTGCAACACCTTGTTCTGCTATCTAGTTGTAATCTGGGAAGCTTATTGTACGTATGGGGGGATGACATGGTGGAAAATCAATGAGCGGTTGGCAGCTAATCCAGGGATGAGATGGGATCAGATGGATCTCCCTCTTTGGATGAAACTGATGATTGCTTAGAGGGCGTCTCCCTTTCAGTACAGGGCCGGCACGGGAGTCAGTCCCCTGCATTGGCCTCCCATAGGAAGGGGTTTTGCTGTCTCTATAATGATGCAAGTGGGGCGCTGCCTGCAAGTATAAACACAAATATTCCACCGCTGTTTTAAAAAAGGGAAGAGCGTTGCAGCGGGAGGAGCAGCAGTAACCAGTGCATCCGCTGCCCTGGGGCATAATGCTGATGACGTTTGACCCAATGCGCCCATGGCTAAGCCTCTATGGTAATATGGGTGACGCAGAATTGTTGAAGACAGGTTTTACGCATGGTTTTGTTATACTGTTTCGGAACAGGGAGTTTGCGTTGTGCTACTGTAACTTGACACGACTTCCCATTTTGCAACAGTCTAGGGAAAAACTCCTTCTCGACCCCAGAATGACTGTTAGATATCTCATTGGATGAAGAAGCTGTTACCCCACATATTAAAAATAATATACCTGAATATTATATTTTTGTAAATGTTTATCCACTTGCTCTCTAAACATCTGTGGAGTGTCTGATGAAACCACCTTTTTAGGCAGAGAGTTCCACATCCTTAATGTTGTTACTGTAAAGAACCCTTTATATAATCCTATATACAGGTGATACTCGAAAAATTAGAATATCATGCAAAAGTTCATTTATTTCAGTAATGCAACGTAAACGGGGAAACTAATACATGAGATAGACACATTACATGCAAAGCAAGATAGTTCAAGCCGTGATTTGTCATAAGTGCGATGATTATGGCTTACAGCTCATGAAAACCCCAAATCTATAATCTCAGTAAATTAGAATGTTACATGCAATTAATAAAACAAAGAGTGTACATAGAACAATATCGGACCTCTGAAAAGTATAAGCATGCATATGGACTCAATACTTTGTTTGGGCCCCTTTTGCAGCAATTACTGCCTCAATGCGGCGTGGCATGGAAGCTATCAGCCTGTGGCAATGCTGAGGTGTTATGGAAGACTAGGATGCTTCAGTAGCAGCCTTCGGCTCTTCTGTGTCACGTATTCATCCGCATATAAAAATGTGATTAATGACATTTTCAGGAAAAGTTGTGCCGAGCAACATTACAGACTAGGTTTTTTTGCCTTTTTTTGGATCAAAAGCAACAACATTTGTGAGGAAGACTGAACTTGATGGACGCAAGTCTCTTTTCAGCTATGTAACTATGTAACTATTTAATTACTGTCCCGACAGGAAAAGTTGTGCTGAGCAGCAATAAAATCCACAGGAGGGTTTGTGCTGAGCAGCAATTATGCAAAGGGAAACCTGGTAACTGCCTTTGGAGTCAAAGGCCGATTACAGCCTATCATATCCAGAGGAGGAGTATTTAGGCCCTGTTATCATCCTGCTCAATGCCCTGTCGTGGTTTCCCTAGTGGTTGTCCGAGAGCGCGTTCCTGATTCAAGTTTCTTCTGTTTTATTACTTTGACTTTGATTTTGACTTCCCTCTACTCTGGTATCCCTGACTTTGGGCTTTCCCTTATCGTTGTGTCTCTTTCTGTATCCCCTGACCTCAGCAAGTAAACTATCTTTGGTATATTAAGTCCGGCCGTTCTAAGGCCCGGTAAAACGTTACCTATTAGTCATCTGTGTGACACAATTCTACGTGCTGGATCAACTAGTAATCCTGACATTCTGCATTGTTCGGTCTCATGTCTCTCATCTTTCTCTTGGCAATGCCCCATAAATTCTCTATGGGGTTCAGGTCAGGCGAGTTTGCTGGCAAATAAAGCACCCATGGTCATTGAACCAGGCTTTGGTGTTTTTGGCAGTGTGGGCAGGTGCCAAGTCCTCCTGGAAAATGAAGTCAGCATCCCCATAAAGCTTGTTTGCGGAAGGAAGCATTAAGTGCTCCTGGTAGACCTTGGACTAAATGAAGCACAGTGGACCAACACCAGCAGATGACATGGCTCCCCAAATCAACACAGACTGTGGAAACTTCACACTGGACTTCAAGCATCTTGCAGTGTGTACCTCTCCATTCTTCCTCCAGACACTGGATCCTTGGTTTCCAAATGAGATGCAAAAGTTGCTCTCATCAGAAAAGAGGACTTTGGACCACTGAGCAACAGACCAGGTCTGTTTTTCTTTAGCCCAGGTAAGACCCTTTGACGTTGTTTGTTGTTCAGGAGCGGCTTGACAAGAGGAATTCGACATCTGAAGTCCATGTCCAGGATCCATCTGTGTGTGGTGGCTCTTGATGCACTGACTCCAGCCTCAGTCCACTCCTTGTGAAAGTCCACAACCTTTTTCTTACACACTTTTCCCTTCCACATAACTTTCTATTAATGTGCTTTGATACAGCACTTTGGGAACATCCAACTTCCTTCGCAATTACCTTTTGTGGCTTTCCTTCCTTATGGAGGGTGTCAATGATGGCTTTCTGCACAACTGTCAGGTCAGCAGTCTTCCCCATGATTGTGATTCCTACTGAACCAGACTGAGAGACCATTTAAAGGCTCAGAAACACTTTATAGGTGTTATGGCCAGGGACATTTTAGCCACGAGGCAAACAAGGCATTTGCCTGGGGCTACATTTTCCAGGGGGCGGCACAGAAAGCCGCCCCTAAATGCCCAGGGCAAATGTCTTGTTAGCCTTGCGGCTAACTGACATGCCGGTCATGTTGATGGGCTGGCTGCTGGGCGGTCGAGGGACAGTCGTGGGGCGCTGGAGGGCGGCTGGCGAGGGAGCACGTCCTCTGAGCTGTCTGCTCAGCTCCCTCGCGCGCCGCATAGTGAGGCTGGGAGCCAGAATTTGATGTCATATTCCAGCTCCCAGCCTCACTCTGCAGCGCGCAAGGGAGCTGAGCAGACAGCTCAGAGGAAGTGCTCCCTCGTCAGCCGCCCGCCAGCGCCCCCTGACCGCCCAGCAGCCACTGGACCCCCAGGGAGAAAGAGAACCCCCACCCCCAGCACTCCCAAAGGCTGGGGGGGGGTTAAAAAAAATGTGTTAATGTGAGTGAGTGTGTGTGAATGTCTGTTAGTGTGTGTGTGTGTCTGTTAGTGTGTGTGTGTCTGTTAGTGTGTGTATGTGTGTGTCTGTTAATGTGTGTGTCTGTTAGTGTGTGTGTCTGTTAGTGTGTGTGTGTCTGTGTGTGTCTGTTAGTGAGTGTGTGTGTGTCTGTTAGTGTGTGTCTGTGTGTGTCTGTTAGTGAGTGTGAGGGTGTTTCTGTTAGCTAGTGTATGCATATCTGTCAGTGAATGTGTGTGTGTGTGTGTAGGCGGGGCGGGTGAAGGGTTGGGTGCACAAAACCAGGATACACCACTGGTTATGGCTTACTTAGCTGATTAGAGTGGGACATTGTGAGCAAAGAATATTGCATCTTTTCACAATATTCTAATTTACTGAGATTGTGGATTTGGAGTTTTCATGAGCTGTAAGCCATAATCATTGCACTTATGACAAATCATGGCTTGAACTATCTTGCTTTGCATGTAATGCGTCTATCTCATATATTAGTTTCCCCTTTTACATTGCATTACTGAAATAAATGAACTTTTTCACAATATTCTAATTTTTCAAGTATCACCTGTATAGTCCTGTTAGCCTTTCTTCACAACTAAAATCCTCCATTCCTTTTATTAAATTTATAGCCTGCCTCTGCACTTTTTCTTGTACCATATTATCTTTTTTTGAAACAGGTGCCCAAAATTGTACAGCATATTCATGTGGTGTGGTCTTACCATTGATTTATAAAGAGGTAAAATTTAATTTTTATCCCAAAAAATGTTTTCCTCTTTTTATGCATGCCATGACCTTTCTGGCCTTAGCAACTGCTGACTAACATTGCACATTGTCGTGTAGTTTGTTGTCTATAACTATTACCAAATCTTTCTCATGTGTTGTTATCCCTAATTCATTACCATTTTAGTCTGTAAGTTGCTTATGCATTCTTGCCCCCGACAAAGTACACAACTTTATCTAAATAAAATTTCAGTCCCCAAATCTATCGAAATCCCTCTGCAACAAAGTAATATTTTGCTCACATTGTATTACCTTATCTACTTTTGA